AAATCTCACATATCCCTTTTTATCACTCCAAATCCTCTGATATACGTCTTTAACACCCCCACCCTCCAAACGCTCTATATCATTCGTTATTCCCCATTCCAAAACCCAATCTACCACACTATATCCTCCAAGAAACTAAAGCTTCTTAAAACACCAGAAATCCTTCTTGATGTCCAAAATTTCTAAAACTGTTATTAATCGAGTGAATCCACATACATCACTCTTATTCACCCTAAAGTCCCCTACACCACTCTTAATCGCTCCACAATCCCCGAAAACCCTCAAATACCTCTATATCACTCTTAATCATTCTCAAAATCGATGATAACCTTAATCCCCATATCACCTTATATCACTCTTAATCACCAACAGAAATTTCGAATCATCAGAAACAGCCAAACTTACTAATCCCCACAATCCCCGTTATACCTAGTAACCCCAATATCCCTTAATATCGTTCTTTTTCGCACTATAGCAAAAACACAAAAAACCTTTGTTCACCAAACTTAGTCACTCCAAAAACACTGACAACACTTTTAAACCACAAATCCCCCCATATCACACTTAAACAACAAAAAAACCTGTTATCCTTATTAATCCAGAAACCCCTACACATCCCAAAAACTCCTGAATAATATTACTGCCCGAAATCAATCGGTCACTTAAATTTTTTATTTCACTTCCAATCAGCCAAAATCGCCGAAATCCCTCTTGATACCTACAAATCTATTTTATCAGGCTTTACCACTTAATCAATGTTCTACTCTTAATCACCCCTTATTAATCCAAAAATAATTTATAACTTTATTTCACGGATCATCGATATCCCTTTAATCTCAAAATTATATCTCTGTTATTACTCAAATCCCCTCTCCTCATCTTGTCCCCAAAATCCCCGGTATGCTTCTTAATCCCTGAAAAATTCGCTTATATCGCACTCAATCTGTCCTTAATCCTTAATATCTTTCTTAATCACTTCAATTTTCCCGATAATTTAAAAGATTCGAAAATCCTCACAAAGCCGTTACATTTAGGCTTATAAGCCCCCAATATCACAGTTCGTCTTCGATATCGCTCAATTTGACTCCTAACTCCTCTGTGGCTTAATACTCAAGTCCGGGTATCCCTATTAATTCCATAACACCCATCTTTTTTCCGAGATAGCTTCCTTCGCACAACCTTAAATGTATGCTCTCCTCAATATCCGTAATAATCCTCAAAATCCCCAAAATCCATTCGTTAAATCTTAAAATTTCATGTTTGTAACTAAAAGATCCTCTATGTATATTCCTCAATGCATTTGCTCAAGTCACGATCTCTTATCTCTCTTAATTACACATAAAAACGATATTATCACTTTATTCAAAAGACCACCTATTTTCACCTCCGATATTCCTCTTAATCCCCCAAATCCTCATATATCACTTAACTTAAATTCTCGATATCCTTTTTAATCCCATCAAATCAATTAATCCACAATCACCCTTTAATAATTTCTGATAATTGAAATGAAATTACTGCAGTTGAAGGACAATCCTAATATCCATGTTTGAATACATATAGGTAACATTTGCTTCATGTTTGCGACTAAATGGCTGCGATTAATTTTTTAAAATAACTGCTTGCGAATAAAAGGCAGACGGCTGGTAACTGCCGCGTCTAAATGACAGATGGCTGGTTGTTTTTGTTTACACTTAACTTTTTCATTAAAAATTAGAGAAAAACAAATTTTTCACTCTTATTTTTTAAAAAGGAAATTTTTCGTGTCAAAACAAATTCTGTTTTTCTTTTTAAAAGGTGCAAAAAAGCGTTACGGAAAATGCGTTTTAGTATAGTGAATTTTTTCCTTCAGAAAATGTTGAGAAAATGTAAAGAAATGTTTTAAAGTACATTTAAAATAAAAATTTTGTCACATTATTTTAAAAATGAGGAAAGAAATGATTAATTAAATAAAATCACCTTATATTTAAAAAATAAATAGTACAAACATATCAAAAAGTATCTAATAAATATTTATTTATGTATCATTTAATACATTTTAATTAAAAATATAATTAAAATTAAAAACAATTTAAAAAAATTTAAATTTAAAATTTTTTTCTAAAATATGTATTAAAAAATACTACAAATTTATTTAATTTTTATCAAAGTTTACACCATTAAATTTTCTTCCATTTTTAAATAAATGTTTGTCTCATGTGTTGAACTGATTTATTTCTTTTTTCATTATTTAGTAACCATGTGATATTTATATAGACAATACATAAATACTATAATAAATTTATGTAAACAATAAAATAAAGTTTTGTTACTTTGAATTTTTAATGATTTTTTAAATTTTATTTTAATTATAATTAATTTAATTTTAAAAAATATTTTTGTTTCTGTAATTTACAATCGAAACTTGAGGATAAAACTATTGTATTCACAATTATATGTATTTAAAAATAGATGGGGGTATTAATTAATTAGGCAGCTTCCTTCAATTCATTGATCAACCTAATTTTAAAATTTTTATTTCTACTGAGGATCAGTATATCAAAAATTTCAACATTTTTACTCATAATTCTTAATTAATTAAAAATAATAATTAAAAACAAATATTTATTTATTTAATAGAATCAATAAAAATGCCAAATAATTATTAAATCAAAATATATAATTAAGTAAAAAATATATAAATTTAATTTTTGGTAAAATAAAAGCCTTTTTAGTAATTAAAAAATAAAGTTATAAAAATAATTATTTAAAATATTTATTTAATTTAATGGAAGAAGAGAGGAAAGAAAAATTAAAAAAATTATTCTTAGTTTAAAAAATACTAAAAATGAAATAAAAAAATAAATAGAATAAATAATTTTTTTAATATTTGAGAAAAGTAATCAAAATCTCTTCTTTTTCTAGCTTTGGCTTTGATTTTTAATTAATAGCTCGTTGTTATATTTATTTAGATTTAGATTTATTTTAATAATGTTGATTTTAAATTAAATTTTAGACAAAAAAGCAACAACTATTTTCAATATCATTCAAAAAAAAAGAAATATTTTTGGTCTACAAAAAATATAAAAAAAGATTATTATAGGTAATTTATTAAATAATATTAATTGGTCTGAATTTTTAAAATTAAATTTTGAGGGAAAAATGTTCGATTTTAATTTAATTTAAAATTCAGACCAATCTGATAAATAAAAATAAAAAAAATGCAGGCAAACAATACCAACAAAACTAAAAATTATTTATTTATTTATTAGAATTCTGTTGGAATTGCTATAAAAATATATAAATTTATTTATTTAATTGAAGCAATTTATTTTATTAAATTAGAGAAAGAATTGTGTTTCTTGTTTGTTAGAATTCTATCCAATTTTTTGAAGAGAATAATAATTATTTTTTAAAAAATAATTAGAGATACTGGCCAGTATATATTAAATACGTGGTTGGTTAGTGGTAGTGGTTAAATAAAAATAAAAAAAGATTAAATGTTACACTAAAATAAAGTGGGAAATTTGTAAAATATTAAATTTAATTGAAATTAAAATTTAATAAAAATTAATATAATTTTAATATTTTCTTTCAAATTTTATTTTAAAATACCAGTCAATATTAAACTAAAAATAAAACAGAAATATTCTTCTTTTCAATTATTAAATACTTTGGTGTGTTATATATAAAAAATTAAATTTAGGTTTCTGGAAAATTTTATTTAATTATTTTCTAACTAAGAAATTATAATTCCACCTAATTTTTTGTTTTTTCAGATTCCGATTGCCTAATCATTCCGAAATTTTTATAGGAGATTCATAAATGCTATCCACAAAATCTTAAAAATATTTCATTTTTTTCTCAAAAACGGACTTATAAAAATTTAAAATAAATAACCGAGTCATTAAGGCAAATAAAACTGAAATTTGAATTTTTACCTAAAAATTCTTTAAAAAATTATTAAAATTATTTTTTAAATTATTCTAATTACTACCCTAACAACTTTTACATATTCCCCAATTTAATTACCAATTAACTACTTAAAAATATATATTTAGTCTTTATTTTTTTTCTCCAATAAATTATATTTTACAAATAAAGTCTCAGAACAGGCGTTGTACTCTATTTTAATGCAAAAATTTGGATTTAATTAAAGATATAAAAGCATATAGATTAAATAGATTAATTTAATTATTTTTAGAGGTGTTTTTAGATAACTGAGACAAAAACAAAAAAATAAATTTAAAAAATAAATATAGACAATAAAATCAAAACAAAAAATAAATATAAATTTATAGAAATATATATATTTTTGTTTAAAATATATTAATTTAAATAAATTTAATTTTTCTTTAAAGTATTAGAGAATGTCAAGTTAGTCAAAAAAATACTGTATTATATTGAGAGAGAAATTTTAAAAAATATAAGTAAAAAAAGGGTTTTTAAGACAAGTTTTTAAGACTTTTTAAACTTTTTAAGACTCTCTATTAATAATACAGCTTTTAAACATTTCCAAAACAATTTAAATATTTTCTTTTAAAAATAATACCATGATTGCTTTTTTTAATTAAAAACACACAAAAATTAATTTCAATTTAATCAAATATAAATATATAATTTAACAAATGAGGATTTTATTTTAAATTACTCGTCGCCTTATATAGAGAAAATAAATTTGTAGAATTTTAAATAATTTGAGAGAATTTTGTAAAATATAATAAATTGTTATAACAAAAAAGAAATATATAATTTTGAGAGTGCAAAATAACCAAAATAAAATAATAGAGGCTAGCTGACCTTTCTTTATATTTGAGAAATGATTTAAAAATAATTTTTTTATCTTAAAAAATATTCAAAAATATTTCTCTCTTTTTTTCTCAATTTTTTACAAAATTATTTCTCAAATAAAAAATTAAAATAAAAGACAAACAAATATATATAAATTAAAATAAATAATATTTAAATTTAAATAAACACACAAAATAAACTCTCCAAACATAATTTTTTAAAAATAAATTTTAATAACATTTTGTCCCATTTGAGAAGGAAAATGCCAAAGGAGATGAAGAACTTGTTGAAGAAAAAAGTTCAAAAATATCAACTCCTCCATTTGTCGTCACATTTTCTTTCATTATTCCATTTGTTGTAAGCTCAGTAACTGCCCCAATTGTTGTTGTAGTCCACGGAGAGAAAGCACTTTCCCCATTCGAAAATGTTGAACCAAATTGGTCAAATTGTTGCTGTTGTTGACCTCGAAGTTCGTTGGAAACAGAACGAAATAAATTGTGAGGTTGTTGTTGTTCTTGACGTTTTTGATTGTCTGGAGCTGGGTGAGGATCACCAATGGCACCAAAATTTGAAAACTAAAAAGATAAAAATAATTGGGGAAATTGGACGGGGGGGGGGGGGGGCAAAGTTTGGAATTACCCTTTAAAGTCTAAAAAAATCAAAGCAGAAAATTTTACAGAAAATTAATCCAATAAATTACATCCAAAAAATTACCTTAACAGCCCCATTTCCAGCATCCAATTCAAGTGAATTAAAAAATAAATGCAAATCATTTGAAGAAGCAGCCGAATTAGAAGTTGTCGAATTGTGTAAATCAGCTGATGGAGGAGGACAACAATTAATGTTGTTGTTACCATTAAAGATAACAGACATTCCAGATTTGTTATTATTTAAATAATGCTAAAATTGTTTACGTTTGAATTTAAAAAACAATTACAAACATCAATTTCTGTTTGTTGTCCATATCCATTAACAAAATGATTTGAATTAATTCCATTTTGATGTTGTTGAAAGTATGGACTTGAATCCTTAACTCCCCCATTCAATAATCCAACATTGCGAGGACAAACAACAGCTAATGCCCCATAATTTGGTCTGTTGACAGAATTGGATTGGAGAGCTGCTTGTTGGGCTTGCAGAGCAGCAGACTTGAAAAATGATTAAAATAAAAAAAAATTTTTAAAGAATGCCCGTCCAAAAACTAGATAAACCTCATTTAGAGAATTTATCCAGGCTTAAACTCCTCCACCATCCCACAATTATACAACTAATTTAAAAAATATTTTCAACTCACATTCAAATCAAAATTAGCAATAGAAGCATTTGGATCAGTTATCGGCATATTTCCTGTTCTTTGATAAATATGGTTTTCAATTTCGCGACGTGCAGCTTCAACATTTTCTGGCAAGCCAGTAACTTCGAAGATAGGTTCACGTTCACGACTTGGTGTTATTATATATGTATGTGTATCCTAAAAATTTGTAAAATTAAAATATATAGTTGCAGTAGTAAATTGTCGGGTTTTAAGTGAGATTGGCAAAAAAGGCCTGATTTTATTTAACGATAGGACAAGTTTTTATTAAAACAGAAAAAATTTTTTGGTGGACCTAAACAAGACATTTACCTAAATTTACATTAAATTATCGAGTAATTTTTTTTTAATTTTATAAAATTGAATAGAAATTTTTTCTAAAAAATTTACTTGCTGAATTCGTTTAATTGTATTCCCTTTCGGACCAACAACCAATCCAACAACACGAAGCGGCACACGCACATAAGCAGTTACGTGACCAGGTGCTGGGCACGCACCCTTTAAAAAATAAAAAAATTAAATTAAAGTCGGTCCCTCCAATTTTTATTTGGCAACAATTTTATTAAACAAATAATAAAAAAATATTGCAAACGAGTAAGTATTGTTTGCCTGTTTTTCTTTATAAAAAAAAATTTGATAGCTTTATTTTTACTAAAATATTTTCATATATTTTTTTGTATTGTCTAAAGGAAGGTTTTTTATTTGCTTTACAAAAAGGTGTATTTATTTGCTTTCCGGTATTTTTAAGAAAAATATTTTTGAGAGACTCTCTTTTTGCTTTTTCCAACAATTAGAGAGGAGGGGGGGGGGGGGGCAAAACAAACAAACGAAAAAAAAAATTTTTTTTTATTATGACGCCAAAAAATTGATTTAATTTTGCAAAAAAATTTATTAAAAAATTTATTTTTACCTGGCTATGCCGTCGCGAAGCACGTATTTGAGTAAAATGTTCAGCTGCACATTCAATTTCACGTCTAGCCTCAACAACATCCTCGTGGCGGCCGGTAACGACAAAGACAGGCTCTTCACCACGAACTGGAGTTTTTATATAAGTATTGGTTTTGGCTCGAAGTGCTTTGATTTTACAACCTTTAAAGAAAAAAAAATTTAAAAAGGTTTTGTAATAATTAGAGAGCACTTAAAGAGATCAAAAATTAATAACCTTTATTTAAAAAAATTATTTAAAGGTAAGGTTTATTTGCATAAATTATTAAAAGGTAGAAGAAAGGATAAAATTAGAAAATAAGCAAAAGATGATTAAGCATAAAAAGCTATTTTAGACAATTTATAATAAAAATCTTAAAGAACCCCTCATTAGAATGAGCAGATTGGGGTTCTTTCCTCGATTCGGGCCAAATGTGCGATGCCTACTTTTTCGAATCGAGTTAGGCTTTTTATGGAACCCCTAAAAGAATACCGAAAATTCTTTAAAAAATTTTGTTTTTACCTAAAAATGTCAATCACCATATCCAACCAAATACCCTCCCCTTCACTTCTCATATTACAAAGGAAAAAATGTTAAAAAAATAAAGAAAAAAATATGAGAAAATATTACAAAAAAATCAAAAATCAAAGCAATAAAAAATGTGATGGATATTAAAGAAATATTCCCTCTTCAAATGTTGGGGGGTTTTATTTTTTAAATTTGCTTCTTCTTAACGGCAATTGGTTTTTTTAGATTTATTTATAGTTCTTCAAAGAAAAAAAAATATTTGAAAAAATGACCCATTTAAGAGGATTTAGAGAAGAGATTTTTTTGTTAAGAAATATGAGAAGAAAATTGGAATAAAAAAATATTTTTTGGACAATACCCCCCCCCTCCCTCTAAACAATTATTCTCAAAATAATTTTAAATTCAAAAATCTTGCCTTGTCTCCCAACAATTTCAGCCACATGTTCACTACTTGGAACTTCAACAGAATCTGTAGAATGTCGAGGACCAAATCGAGCAAGCAATTGCTGTGGCGCCATTAAACCTGGTGAGCAAGGCGAACCTAAAGTATTTGTGTCCAATTCAGCAGACTGTTGAGGAGGAAAAAACCTTTAAAAAAATAAAAATGTTTGTGGAAATAATTTTTTGTGGAATATAGAACTCGTCGAGCTGACAGAATGAAACCAAAATCAGCTAGAGGTTTTAACTTAGGGTCGAGAAAAACTGACTGGAGGGGAAGGACTAAATGAGTAACGAAAAAGATTTGAAAGGGATCTAGTTTTTATTTAAGATTTATATTAGATCAGACAAATGCCAGTCCGCAAGTGTGATCCACAAAAGTCGGTTTACAAAATTATTTTTACAAAATATTTCAAAAAAAATAAACCAAGCTCCAGGAATTGTCTGTCCATTAATTTGTCTATTCTCAACACCAACATTATTTAAATTGTTTGGATTTTGTTGATTTAAAGTTGTTGTTGAAAACATTCCTCCAACAGAATTAAATAAATTATTGTTTAATTGTTGTTGTCCATTTCCTCCCAATCCTCCACCAAATAAAGGAATTGGCTGTTGAGAATTTAAATTAAAATTATTTCCCTCAAAATTTGTCTGATTGGAACAAGGTTGTGGCGGTGGTGGAGATGTTCGTTGAAGAGGTTGTTGTGACTGTTGTTGATTATTTAATGATATTTGTCGTTGTTGTTGATTATTTATGAGCATTTTTTGAGCTTTTTTTAAATATTTAAATAAATTAAAGTCTTTTCCTCCTCTCTAAAATAAATTTAGAAAAAAATAAATTAAAAGAGAGTTAATAGAAAATAAAAGCTATTTAAATGAGAAAAAGATGGATTAAAATAAATTCTGAAAAATAATTAGCGGTGACGTTTAAATAAAAAAAATAAATTTAAATTAAATCTAATAAGAGTTTAATTAATAAGGCAAAAAATAATTAGAATAAATCTGTTATTTTTAAAAGGATAAAATGAAATAAAGGAAACAAAAATACTAATTAAATGTGGATTTTAGGCTCGGACAGCTCTTTCGAATGATATATAAATTATTATATGTCAAGCAAAAAAGCTCAAAATGGTCAGGGAAATATGAAAAATAGTGGAGGACGTCAACCAAAGAATTACCTTACAAACATTGTTATCAAATTTTTAAGTCAAAAATGTGAACTCGACATATATTTCAATACTTATTTTTAGCGGATTTTCGTTTAATTTAACAAATTCCCACAGAATTCAAAAATTCACCTCAAAAATAAAATAAAGAAAAAATGTTAAAAATTATTTTAAAAACATTTTTTAAACATACATTTATTTCTATATTTTATGTAATTTAATGAAAGAAAATGTCACATTTATTGGCTTTTGCCTAAAACATTTTTGCGCGCCTTTTTTCATTATTGACGCTTGGAAGAATATAGAGAATGGCGCATTGCGTGCATTTGAAAGGCTTTTATAAGTGAATATTTCTTTAGATACATATAAAAGAAAAATAAGAGGGGAGGTAGACATTAAAAATATTTTTTTTTATTTTTTTAGTACTACTTAATTTGAAGGACTTGGAAAAAGTTTTAAAGGGAAATTATGCTAAAAAATATTTTAAAATATAAGGAGGGGGGAGAGGGGGAGGGGGGAGTGACAGAAGGTGTATATTTTAATAGTTTACCCTTAGGTTGTAAAAAATAATTAGAAATAAACAGAAGTTAAAAAATAGAATCTGTTAGCCCCTATAGATTTGTAGAAATTTCATTTTTTGGATAAAAAATATACCCGAATAGGCTTGCTTATCATTCAATTTACTAAATAGGACCAGACCTGCTCAGATAATATCTGAGCAGGTACAGATAATATCGGATAATATCAAGATGCCTGCGGATATCCGCCTGTATCCGCCATAAATATCAGGATACCAAAATCAGTGTCCGTGAGCAGGTTTGAATAGGACAAGAAGAAAATATTCAAAAAACAATAAAATTTTAGAAAATTTCCCCCCATAATTTGTCAATGGAAAAATTTAAAAACCAAATAAAAAACTAAAAATGCAATCGACAAGTTTCAATCATTTAAATTTGTGGCTCAAAAAGGGGGCTCGTTAATTGACAATATTTTATAGTGTTTTATAGAGTAGAACTTTTAAAATATGAAAATGTGTAAAACTTTATAAAAAAAACACCAAAAAATACTACTTTAAATTTATTATGTAGTATATTTTAAAAAAATTTTTTAAATAAAAATTAAAATAAAAATATAAATGAAAAATATTGCGCACGAGGAATTAAAAATGACGAAAAAATTAGTTAAAATAAAAGGATGAAAAGCCTGTACAGGATTTTATAATTATAATATATTCATTTAAAAATAAAAAGAAAATAAATGTAAATAAGAATTTAATTAAATAATATTTTTTAGAAATATAGTAGAGGATTTAATGTTTAGTTAAAAAGATAAAAATTTGTTTAATGTTTTGGTGTTTGTTGTTTTGGACAAAATATTTTTTAAATGAAATTAAAATCGATAAGATGCGCCTATCCCTGAGCTAGCTTCGGCTCGATCCTCACAAGCAGTGCTTCGAAATTTCGATTTTGCTCGTACTCGTACTTTGTACCAGATACGAGTACGAATTTTGGTACGAGCTTCGAAGCACTGCTTACAAGTATATTTTAATATTTTACCTTTGGTCGTAAAAAACATACACTAAAGACTCCGTACTATCTATATAAACTACCGTATATTCTCTATTAATTACCCTGGGTAGTTATTGTTTTGACCTCTCTCTGTTGAGGATAATTGATAGTGGCGGGGTAATTAATAGAGGTTATTTTAGGAAGGCTAATTATAACTTTTTAAGGGAGTAATTGTTATTTCAACCTTTCGAGGGGGTACCTAATAGAGGTGGGTAATTATTTAAGCGAGGGTAGTTAATAGAGTATATACGATAATACTTGGGACACCTACTGAATCTGAATCATATTAAACAGATGAACTCGATTATCACCGGACCTCGACCCAACTTTGCCCCTCGATCTCGGCTTTTCCAGCCTCGGCAATAAAAATCCTCGACCAATTCAATTAAATGTACACTCTGTTAATAAAGTATAAGCACCCCTAAAATTTTTGTGAAAATACATGATCCCTAGGCATTATTTGTTTTATTTTTTTCCTACATTATCAGGGATCCAAAACATAAGTAAAAATAAAGTTTAAGAAATTTTTATCGCTTTAAACATTTTAAAATTGAAATTTCTCGAAATTAACGTGTTAAGAAAGTATAAGCACCCCTGTAAAAATTTAGTTTCTACTGATTGTAAAATTCTACAAAAAATACAGTAAATATGTCTATCGATATTATGGAAAATAAAAAAAGAATTAGGCCAATATCTCATTCCAGTGTCGAGATCTCGATACCCTTAAAATCAACGTAAAACAGGGTTTTTCAACTTCAAAAAAATTTTTCGACCCCTTATGGTTTGTTTCGATTTTTCTATTATGAGCTCTTTCGAAAGCCCTTTAAATTTGCTACAAGTAGCATAAGTTTTATTTTCCAAAAAATTATTTCAGCAAGTTATTAAGTTTTAAATTTCTAAGGCATAAAAAACGTCCAAAATACCCCATAAAATTAGCTCTGGAGGATTAACGCCCTGTAACTCTCTATTGAATTTTTTCTGAGATATATAAATATCCCTATCTTGTAGCAAATTTAAAGGGCTTTCGAAAGAGCTTATAATGAAAAATCGAAACAAACCATAAGGGGTCGAAAAAATTTTTTGAAGTTGAAAAACCCTGTTTTACGTTGATTTAAGGGTATCGAGATCTCGACACTGAAATGAGATATCGGCCTAATTCTTTTTTTATTTTCCATAATATCGATAGACAAATTTACTGTATTTTTTGTAGAATTTTACAATAAGTAGAAACTAAATTTTTACAGGGGTGCTTATACTTTATTAACACCTCAACTTCGAGAAAATCCAATTTTAAAATTTTTAAATCGATAAAAATTTCTTAAACTTTATTTTTAGTTATGATTTGGATCCCTATTAATGTAGGAAAAAAATAAAACAAATAATGCCTAGGGATCATGTATTTTCACAAAAATTTTAGGGGTGCTTATACTTTATTAACAGAGTGTATAACCAAATATAAAAATTAGTAAAACAATTAAATTAAAATAAAATTCGTTAAACGATAGTCAAACATTCCGGCTTTATGCCAGTATGTATAAATTAGCAGAATTCCCAGCCTTAAATTTTGTATTACTATCTGAAACCAAAACTAAACCCAGAGACAGTTGGTACTCAAATAATTTTTAAATATTTTTTATTCTAATAAAAGAATTAAAGATTTAATAAGGAAATTATAAAAAAAAATTCCTTATTGAGTGCCTACTTTCCTACCATAAATAACAAAAAAGGAAAGAATAACAAATGGTTGGCGCCAATAACAAGAAGCAAATCGAAAACAATTTTTCGAATAAAGCCAAGGCTGTTTTTATGTTAAAAGCATATATGTATTTGTGTCTGTAGACATCAACAACTACTCCCCCCCTTTTTGTGCTTTACTATATAAAAGTGGGCATATGTAAAGTGTGAATAAATTTAAAACGGGCATTGGCACTAAACAAGGAAAAAATGTATATGTGTTTACTATGCCAAATCCACTAGCAAATAAATGTGTTTATACCTCAGACCTTAGGAGTCTTATTAGCTATAAAAACTTGTCAAGTGTCTTACTCCCCCTCCAAATAATAAGATTCCCAAATTCTTGGAAAATCCCGAAAAAAAAGATTTTTTAGAAGGTTGGGGGAGAGAAGTTGTTCATACCACAAATTCTATATGAATTTGTCCCGCTCAAAAAGTTTCAAATAATTTTTATTAGAAAATTAAAATAAAAATTTTTTTATCCTTCTTAATCATTACTTTATTTTTTGCCTATATTTATGTGTTAATTTTCTCAATATCCTGCTGAGTGAGAAGGTTTGAGAAGAGGAAAGAATGGGTGGGGTTAAATTAATAGGGGGTTTAAGGAGGAATTGAAGTGTGAAAATAAAAAATATAACAAATATTTTTGTTAATACCTAAATTGATGAAAAGTGAGGAGGAATAAATAATTTTTTAGAAAATATCAAAAATTAATTATGCCCTTTACACACCTTTCCAGCCAATTCAGTCTCTTGTTTAATTTTATCAGAGAGGGGTTCGTCGGAGGCCAATTGTTGCTAGGTTTGAATCCTAATTCAGGAGGATTATCCTTCTTTCGAAGAATAATTAGCGGTATTTAAAATATGTTTATCTTTTAATTGTTTATCTTTTTAAAAATAAATAAAATAAAAAAATAATTTTTTTTAAATTTTAATGGAAGGATTTTTAAGTAAAAATATATTTGTAGAAGTTATTGTAAAAAGTAAGTAAATAGATAAAGAAAACAAGTATTACAATAACAACAATAAAATAATAACTACACATTGTAGATGACCTCTTCCCCCCCCCCCCCCTCCTCCCCATTCCCCCAATTTTTTTCAAAACACAAAATTAGGATGGGTGGGATCAAAGGAACTGTGGATATATATTTGCTTTTGAACCATTTCTCTAATACAAAGAGTATCTACATATTTTTCATCACAAATTGTGGGTAGCAATTAAAAGAAGTGCGCGTTGAAAATAGGGAGAGGATTTACTAAAATATATTTTTTGAAGATTTATGTAGGTTGATTTTTGGAATGGACTTTTGTTTGTTAATTAGACTTTTGTTTGAAATTGATGTATGGAACAGACGTGGGCGAAACGTTTCGTTTCGTTTCGTTGTTTCGTATGTTTCGTATGATTTTTACTGTTTCGTCTCGTTTCGTTACGAAACACTTTTAAATTTGTTTCGTTTCGTTTCGTTACGAAACACCTGTGATTTTTCAACGAAACGAAACAATTTTTTAAGCCTAAACTAAGGCCAAAATCTATAAAATTAACCATCTTTTATTGAAAATTTAAAAAATTTTCGCCTGCGGCGCTGAAAAAGAAGAATTTCGGCTTCTTGGCCTTCCCAAATTGTCAAAATTTTCGCCTGCGGCGCTGAAAAAGGAAGATATCAATTACTTATATACTACAAATCCGTTTATACTCCACTCCCTAATCCGCATATACATATTACTTAATCGACGACAAATTCTATTACCGGACTCGCATCATAATTTAAAAATTGCGGATTGCGAGTTGCGGAAATACTGGAACCGGAACTTCCGGCGAAGCATTAGCTTATATCGCTCTCCTCTCGAAATGGAGATATGGAGACAATTTGGGTAGGCAATGGAGCAAGATAGTGAATTTTTTGGCCTACGGCCTTTCAAAATTTTAAAATTTTTCGTCTGCGGCGCTTAAAATAAAATTTTACTTGAAAAATATTAAATTTTATTTGAAAAAAAGCGTCGCCAAAAATTCGGCTTCGAAAATGATTGACCCCCCCCCTTCCCCGAAAATTTTCCTTGCTACGGGCCTGGCTTATGGGACAAATTGTTGTAAATAAACCAAAAACTAAATCATTTATAAATCGTAGGCGACTAATAAAGTATTTGAGGTCGAATAATTGCGAAATAAATGAAGTTTTGAAAATTTTTTGAATATTAAAATGTTTCGTTTTGTTTCGTTTCGTTTCGTAAGATTTTGGTTGTTTCGTTTCGTTTCGTTAACGAAACGATTTTAAAAAAATTTTGTTTCGTTTCGTTTCGTCAGAAAAAAATTTTGAGTTTCGCCCAGGTCTGGTATGGAAGGGTATGAAAGAATTGTTTATTAAAAATTGGAATTGAACTTAGATAAAATTTAAAATCAAACTTGAAATTTGTTCAATTTTAACATTTTTAGAATCTTGATGAAGATAAAATTTTGTGATTAAATTTTGATTTTGACATAGAAGAGAAAAACTCTTAATTTTTAAATCTTTAAATTAATCATTTAGGGTTTCCGAGGCGAAAAATTTTATAAAATATTCTGGTTAAGGAGAGAGCACACCTTGCCAAAAAATAGGTTTAAATAAAAACTAATCAAGTAACAATTATTTATTTATTTTGTTTCCCATAACCCTCAATCAAAAATATCAATCAACTTGTCAAGGATTAAATTAATTTTAAGTAGATGGATTAATTATGTATTTAAATGAACCATACAATTTTTTTACAAAATTAACTAAAATATATTGCAGGTATTTAAAACAAAAATATTTCTCCTCCGAATCAAATATTTTACATTAAGATAAAATTTATTTTAATTAAAAAATAAATTTAAGGAATTTTATATCTTTAAATAAATACCTTTTTTGGATTAGAAAATAATAATAAAAATAAATAAAAAAACACTCTTTTTCCTTTTTTCTTTCTTATATGGTAGAGGTGGATTAAGGGAAAGGGATTTAACTGCACCCAAGTGGTCAGAGCTTTAGGTCAGAGAGAGAAAGGATTTTTTAAATAAGAGGATTTGGTTTTTGAATATCCAAATAAAGAAAGGAACGGGTTCTCTTATTTGCCGTTAGCTTTTTCACAATTTTGTAGAAAAAAGGGAGAGAAAGGGTTACTAGTATTTTTATAGATGGGTTATATTTTAGAATGGAAGGACCGCCCGCCGGTCTTTTGTTAGCCATTAAAGAATAACCACACAATAACCACACATTTTCTCCCATCCATTTTCTGGTTGTAGTAATGGTTATATTCTGTTTGTTGTTAGTCTCATTAGAGAGGAAAATTCATGAAAAAAATTTGAATAATATATAAATGTATGTATATGAATATATAATTTAATAAATAAAAATTCATATAAATTAATTTAAAAATAAAAAATAAGAAATTTAAATACCGTAAATTCTATTTATATGTATTACAATCTTCACATTGCACAACATGTACAACAGGGATGGGCTAATTTCGCATTTCGGATTTCAAATCTTTCGCATATTTCACATTTTTCAGCGCGAAAAGTTTCGCATTCCGCATTTTATTTTTAGACTTCGCTTAGCCCTGATGTACAAGTTAGAAAAAATACATTAAAAATAGAAAAAAAACATAGTGTAAAATAGGCTTTCCGGTATTCTACATATACTATTTTTTTAAAAATCCTGTTCAATAAAGAAGCAAAATTAAAAATAGAATAGGTATACATATACTTGAAGATTAAAATCCATTTATTTTTTAACAAGAAAAAGCTTAAAATTTGTATGTAGGAGGCTATAAACTTGAAGAATTGAAAAAATTCGTTAACTCGAGTTATATGAAAAATAAATAATAAATTTGGGTAATTTTTAAAAATTATTTTTCTTAAAATAAATCTTGGGTAACCTACTAAAAGCATTTTATATATTTTTTAGAAAAATAAATGTGTGTTTTGTGTGAGAGAATGGTCAACAACCTAAACAATGTTTGAGGAACGCGCAGCAACATATTCGCTTTTATGGTAAATTTTTAGGGGGAGAAAATGTGAAAAGAATGGGTAAGTGGATGATTGGGGGGAATAAATAAAATAAAACAAGAATAGGCCCCTTTTCCTCCCAACCGGCGAACACATTAGCGAGTCATCCCCTCAATTTTTTTTCTTTTTTTAACTACTAGATAGGTTGTGACGGGAGGATTTTGAGGAGAAAATTGAAGAAAATTGAAGAAATATCCTTTTTCTAAATAGAGTTGTTGCGGTGCTCTGACGTTTTTGCAAAAATGTAGAAAAAAAAAGAATTGTGAAAGCCGCAACGATAAGTGGATGTTGGAAATTAAATGGGCATTATTGAGGAAAATAAAAGTATAATAGAAAATAGTATATTTAAGTATAGTAAATTGTGAAAATAATGAATGCATTAATAAATTGATGGATAATAATATATTTTTGTTTTGCTTATTCAATTCTTTAAATTTTTATTTTAAAATACATACACGAATATATAAATGAAAATATTAATATTTATGTAAGTTCAAAATTTGTAGGGAGTCCCCAAGTATTATTAAACTTTAGAAAAATTAGTAAATAAGAATTTAGAGAAATTTCAAAAAAATAATAGAGTAAGCAGCTGGGCTATAGCTATTTCTCCCCTTCAGCTCGTGCAAAAGGTTTTTCGGCGACCTGAGAGCGAACCAGCATCTTCAGTAGACCGGACTGATTATCCAGTACACGACACCGCCTACTGCACAGCATTAGGATTTAAATAGCTATATGCTTTATAAAATAGAGTATTTTGATAAAAAATCTTAGAATAACTTAGAAAACTTTACAATTTATTAAAAATTTAAAGAAAAAATTTTTAAATTTAAAATCAAAGAATATTTTTTAATATTCTGAGAAATCAACATTTTAACTGGTTTTCTTCTTTATTATTTTCATCCCTTACATATGTATGTGTGTCTTTTCACAAAAAATGAACAAAAAAAAGTTGCTTATTTTTCACTAAGGAGTTATGACGCCTGGCACCAAAATATATTTTGTAGTATGTTTTATTTCCTTCTTATTTTTACCCCAACTGGCTCTTTGCTCTTTTTAAAATTTGCTTTCCCACTTATTTTCCTCTAAATCCTCCTTCCATCTGTCCCTTTACCCCCTCTTTTTTTACTACCCCAACCCCCAACTTGCGAGCTTTGGCCTTGATAATATTTTAGTATTTGTGTGCATGTATTATTTGTTGTTTTGTTGTCCCCTCAACTGTACATATACACAAACAATTGTGGTAAGTAAAAGTTGTCAGATATTCGGGAAAAAGGTTGGTTGGTCTTTGTCTAGTAGATAAATATAAAAATAAACAAATAAACACATTAGCGTCTAGAATATTAAGGGTAAAGAAGAATGGAAATATGTACACAGCAACATAAAACAGGCAGAGGGTGCAACCAGCCTTTCAGTGCGGGAGTATGGTTTAGTTGGTTAGTGACAGCGAAAAATGCACGAGGTTCGAATCCTTTCAGTGAAAATGAATTATATAATAAGGAAATCCTAATAATATCTTTTCTGATTAACATTTAATGTCATTTTAAATTAAAATAAATTTTTTCAAATCAATCTTTCCATTATTTTTCATTTTCTAAATTTACTTATAAAACCATATGTAACTTTTTTTAAACATATTAAAAATCAATTAATTTGGTTTTAAAACAAAGATAAGACTTTGTTTAACGATTTGGCTAAGTTGAAATTTTTTTCTCAAAGTTTTTTTTCGAGATAAAGCTCCTCGAAATTATACATCAAATCTTTAGAGAAATAGCATGCGAAAAAAATAGAGCGATATAGAAAAAGAGAAATTTTTTTATTTATTTCGGCTCCTATACAACTCATCTAATCGTTAACTCATCTATTCGTTAACTCATCTACACGGCCAAAAAGGGTCAACTCATCTAATCGTTAACTCATCTATTCGTTAACTCATCTACACGGCCAAAAAGGGTCAACTCATCCAATCCTTGAAATATCGGCCGGTTGAGTCCCTAGCCGGTTGAGTCCCTGGTCAGTTGAGTCTCAACCGGCCCAAGACTCAACCGGCGGTAATCAACCACTCAAACGGCCGGGACTCAACTGACCAGGGACTTAACCGGCTAGAGACTCAACTGGCCATGGACTCAACTGGTCATGGACTCAACTGGCCATGGACTCAACTGGTCATGGACTCAACTGGTCATGGACTCAACTGGTCATGGACTCAACTGGCCATGGACCCTACATACCAGAGACTCAAACGGCCGGAGACTCAAACGGCCAGAGACTCAGACGGCGAGAGACTCAAACGACTGGTACTCAATAGTCTCGTTCCAAAGGATTGGATGAGATGAAAGTTTTTGGCCGTGTAGATGAGTTAAGGATTAGATGAGTTAACGATTGGATGAGTTGACCCTTTTTGGCCGTGTAGATGAGTTAACGAATAGATGAGTTAACGATTAGATGAGTTGATCCCTTTTTGGCCGTGTAGATGAGTTAAGGAATTTTAGCCGTTTAGATGAGTTGAACGTTTTTGGCCGTGTAGATGAGTTAACGAGTAGATGAGTTAACCGGACACGTTTATTTCAGTGCCACTGAAACGGCTCTAAGTTGCAGGTTATGTTGCTGTGATGTAGTAATTGTACTCACAAATTAGGAAATATAAAAGATGAATTGTAATTTTGGATTTTAAAATTATAATTTTGCAGATATGTATAATTAGTACTTTATATCACAAGCAAGAAGAATAGGCAATAAACCCAAAATGAAAATTTAAACAATGTTTCTATATTTTTGGGGAAAAAGCTGAAATTAAACGAGATAATGAATATTGAAACTCTTTTCAAATAAATGGAACTTGTATACTACAAGATAATTCACAAATTTTCAACTTTTCTATAAAAACATTCTATTAAACAAGCTCCCGAAATACCCCCCCCCCTCCTCTCCAAAAATATATCCTCTCCCCAACGTAATTGGCATTTAATAATAGACAACAAAAACTAAATTTATAATTACTTTGCGCAGAAAATAAATTTATTTTTGCTTGAAGGAAATTGAACAGACAAAATGGGAGAATAATGGAGGAAAATAATAATAATACAAAAAATATTGTGAATAGACAGACAATGCTCGGATGAATTTAAAAATATTTTTATATACATATTTACTTGATTTTGAAGGACAAATTAATATATTACCTAAATTTTTTAATATTAGAAAATAGAAATTTTAATAAAATTAAAGAAGCTTCATCTAAGCCTAATATCAATTAAAAATCCAAAACACCAGATTCGTTAAATGAAAGAGGAGAATCATTCTTATGGGAATACAATTGAAAATAGAGGTACTGGATAATAGCGGTACTGGTTCTAAAACATCGAGCTGGGTACTTATCGGTATAGCTATTTATATTTGTAAAATCCAAAACACCAGATTCGTTTGCCTTTGAAAAACTTGCAAGTTTTAGGCAGAAGAAAAGGAAATAAAGGAGAAGAGAATACGGAGAGATAACAGATAAGTAACGAGAAAAAGCTAAAAATTTAAATATTTCCTGTAGAAGTTTTGAAGATATTTTCATTTAAATATTATATTTTTCTTATGCCTCTTTCCCTAATTTCTTCTTTATATTTTCAATTTATTTTAGTAGAACCTATTTTTCAAAAATATTTTCAATCTCCAATTTTCCTCAGTTTTAATTCTCTCCTATTTATTTTTAATGTCTTGATTTTATTGCGGCGCTCATTTCGCTTAGAGAGTTCACCATCCCTTAGCTTCCCTTTCCCTCCTGCTTTTTCTCTTCTCCCAATATTCCCCGTTGGCGCCTCTTCACTATTTTTAAAGTTTTGTTGCATTGCGCAATTGGATGTTTTTTTATTTAGTAAAAAAAAAAGGGAAAGATTGAATAATTGACTTCTTCAAAAAAAGTTTTTAATAAATGAATAAAAATTTGTTGATGAGGAAATGAAAAAATAATTGAAGAAAAAAAATTGTTGGAGGGCGAGAAAAAAATTCTAAAAAAAGTTGAAAAGTTTTTTGAAAAAAATTGTGAATAAAAATATGCACTTGATGAATTGAATTGGAAAGATTTTATTATTATTTTTTGAAGAAAAATAATATAAAAATTAAATTTGAAATAAAAAAATGAAAGAATAATTTAATGAAGAAAAGAGAGGAAGATGGAAGAAGAGGAGTTTAGATGAGAGGAAAGAGTGTAGAGAATCTGAAGAGAATTGGGAATTTTAATAAAAATTTATTTTAAGAATTTTAACGTTAGAGATTAACTCAAAAACTTTTTTTAAAGTAAAATTTAATCCTCTTTGCGCAAAAAATTAAAAATAAAAAGAAAAATCTGCTTAAAAATTTTTAAAGGGCAAATTTAGAAATTTTTAGAAAGTAAAGACTTGAAAAGAATTTATATTTTTTTAATTAATAGAATATTTAAAATAAAAAATAAATTTAATTTAAAATTATTTTTAAGTATATTTCCAAGCTTTATTTAAATATTATAATTATTATTGTGTATTTTAAGTGCTTTTCTTAAATTTTTGTTGCGATTTTAAGTGTTGCGAATTTACGTGCGCAAAATTATTATTGAAAATAAATGACCTAAAAAAATATTTTTTTAAAGATTTTTGTTAAAATTTAGAAAATTACAAGTTAATTATTAATTTGTTTAGTGTAACTAAAACAGAAAATAAATACAAAAAATAACAAATTCTAGTTAATGTTGAAGGTTCCGGAACCATAAAAATAATTTTTTTGAAATATTTCAATTTTTTTCCCACAATTAATTATTTAATAAGCTTTTTTTATTAACAAATTGAAGAGAATATATTATTTTTAGGAAAAATTTAAAATAAAAGCAGATTATGAACAAAAGTGCCAAAATATAGACAGATATTAATAAAAAAATTTTAATTCCTAACGGAGCTTTTCGCGTTTTAGACTTTTACAAATTCTGAAAGAAATATAAATTTTCACATAATTAAAAGCCCTAATATTTAACCTAAATAACAAATTTTCAAAAAAAAAATTTTTTCAAAGTTAAAATATTATTTGGAACTTTCAAATTAAGCTTGTCCCTAATTAAAATTCAAAAAATATTTTATTTGTAAAAATTTTTTCAGATTATTATATTTTTCAAAGGAAATATTTGTTAAGTAAAAACAAGAAAATCCAAAGTAGACAAAAATATTTTTAAAAAATATTTTATATTAATGGCAACAACAAAACAAAAATAAATTGGCCGTTCCTTTTATTTTTTGGATACAAAGTACCTAATATATATTTATTTAGTATGTGGAAGTAATTCGAGAATTCCTTCTCTATTTTTTATTTAAAATTTAGACAAAAACAAATGGCTGTCAGAAAAGAAAATACTGAATTTGTAACAAATGTTCTTGTTATTTTTTTAAATAAAAAAAATAAATTAATATTTATTAGAGTAAATAAATTTAAAACTCTCAAACAATTTATATTTTTTTGTTAAATTAAAAAAAAATTATTTTAAATTTCTTCAAAATAAAAAAAAATTTATTTTAAAGAAAAAGTATTTTAATTAATTTTAAATTAAAATAAATATTAAAGATAATTTAAATTTCTTTAAATAAAAAATTCTAACGTATGATAAAGTGCAACCCCCTCCCTCCTAACTCCCTCCTCATTTCTCTTTATTTAAATTTCTCTTTTTATTTTCAATAATTATTGAGTAAAGGGCAACTGAAGGGATGATTCAAATTTATTTTTTAAAAATCATTTGATGAATAGGAATTGTTGGGAGGAGAAATTAATGTTTAATTAAAGTGTTTAAGCAGTTAAAAGTTGAAGAAAAAAATATAGAAAATAATTAAAGTTAAAAATTTCTGGCTAAATTTTGGAGAAATTATTCTGGCTTTAAATGTTGTGTGGCATTTGATAAAGGGTAAACTCATAGTTGAGTATTTTTCACACTAATTGACCGACCTGTTGCCATTTGAAATTAAAATTCCTGGCTACCCCCAAACTTGAATAACTTGAATGAATTCTATTAATTTTAGATTTAAGAAATTATTTTAAAAAAGTGATAGGAAATAAATTTATTTTTAATACTTTTGTTATTGTTGCCCTACCCAGGGATTGATGGAAGCCTTTTGAGAGGGAGGGTAGAAGAAGTAGACCACACCGCCATTTGCTTTTGTTGAGGAAAAAAAGATAAAAAAATGTCCAGCAGCGTTATATATATTCTTGTAAAATAATTCAACTTCCTCTCTTATATTCTTTTACAAAGGCAGATGGTCAAAATGAGGGGGGATTTATTGAGGAGGAGAGCCGGATTTGCCTTTCTGCCTGATGATTTTGAAAAGAGAAAATGGCAGAAAATGACGGTGAAGGAAATTGAGGGTATAAAAATTGAGAGAAAAAAGAGGAGAGAGGGGAGGGGGGATTTTGTTGGGAAGGCTACTGGCCGGATGGACGCACATCTGCTATTTCTTCAACCTAAAGAGCCCTCCACTTGGCGACAAAGGCCATTTGAATGTGAAGAGAATTTGACAATAAAAAAATTTTAGAAAAAAATTGAGAGAATAGAAAAAGAATAAATATATAAATTAGACATTAGATAATTCGGATTCATATTTAAATTGGACAGTGAGAGATAGGGTTGCCGTTTTCGATTCGAGCCAACGTTCAGTGCATTTTTTCGAGCTTGGTTTTTTTCGATTCGGTTCGTTTTGAAGCTTTTCGAGCTGAAAAGCCTCGGTTCGCTCGATCTTTCAAGTTTCGGGTCGAGCGAGCAGGCAACTCTAGTGAGAGATATCTCAGTCCGTAAAACAGCAAACGCTGACTGAGCTCATGTGTTTCACAGTAAGTATAAATTATATGTATATGGGAGAATTCTGTAGAATATAATAGAAATATACTCTCAAATATAAAAGTACCGGTGCTTCTAGAATCGAAACAAAAAAATTTTTGTTTGTTATTTAGAGAAACAAATTTTGAAAAAGTCCATTTACAAACACTTTTAAGTGCTTCTGTTACTAGAAAATTTTCATTATTTCCCCATACTTAAACCATCCATTTTCGGCGGTGTTTCCCATAGACAAATGCGCAATTTGTGAGTGTTATAAATGTATGTGAATTATTTATTTATTTATGATGATGAAGGCCTTGATGTTAGTGACCAATTTATTTTTTGAAAAAATGTAAATTATGTGAAACATAATTGCCTACTAAAAAGGCTTTAATTAAGAAAATTGTAAAAAAATATTTTTGGAACTTGCGAAAGAGTTATGAAACAGAAAAATCTAGGGTCCTGGAAAATTTCCGGTCTTGGAAGTCTCTAAGAATTCCTATCTATAATTTACTTTTAAAGGTTCAATCAACGTGTAAATTAAACAATACAGAAAATTAAGTAAATTTACAGTTTTTGAATTTGTGAAGGTTAAATTAATGATTAAAAAGGAGAAAAAAGAAGAAAGTTTTAAACTCAATTCTAGAAATAAATAAATAAAAGTTTATTACAAATCTGTTTTTAAATAAAAGATTTAAATTTAAAAAAACTTTGAGACTTAATACAAAACAGATAATAGAAGTTCTTTTATTAAAAATAAATTGAAGAAAGAAGGGGCAAAATAATTTTTAAAAAAGACGAAAGAAAAGTCGTTGTTAAATTGCACTTTTTGTTTGTTAAAAAATTTTAAAGGAAAAGGTTGGAAGAAATAAAATTTAAAGAAAAATAAAATATTAAAAAAATTTTATTTGGATATTTTTAAAATAAATATTAATTTTTGTTTAAAATTTAAAAAGTTAAATTAAAATATTTAATTATTTAAATACAAATTCTAATTATTTTTAGAAAAATATTTTAATATACTATTTATAAATTTAAATATAATATTATATATATTCAAATAAAACAAAACAAAATAAATCTAAAAATAAATTTACAAAAAGAATATTTTAGAGTTTAAAGATTATAAATTATGTATTAGTTTATTTAAAAAAATAAATAAATGTTTGTTTGAATTAAAATTAAAAAGAAAGGAAAGAAAAAAATACAAGTTAACAATTAAAGAATTTAAAAAAGTTTATTTAAAAAGAAAGTTTAGGAAATTTGAGAAAACGAAAAAAAAATTTATTTAAAAAATTATTTAAAATTTTTAGTAAATAAAATATTGGGTAATATTAAAATAAAAAAATTAAATTTATTTTTTAAAAAATTTTTAATTTAATCAAAAATTTATTTAAAAAATAAATTAATTTAAATTAATTAATTTATTTTTTTTCCACACAAAACACAAAAAAAATTAAAATATTTATTTATTATCTAACCTTTATTCAATAAATATTTTTTCTATTTTTGGCAAATTTCAAAAGAATTTTGCAAAAGAAAATGTGGACTTTTTTTTAAAAATGTTACGTGTGAGAATAATAAAAATTTAAAGGAATAATAAAAAAAGTTAAATAAAAATGTTGGAAAAAATGGGTAGAAAAAAGTTAAAAATAAAAAATAATATTTAAAAAAGTTTATTTTACTTAAAACCTTTGAACACAACCTCTATGTAAATATAATTTTTAAAATTTATTGGTCCCTAGCAGTGCTTCGGAATTCCAGATTTGCTAGTACTCGTATTTTGTCGAGTTCGAGTACGAGCGTCGAAGCACTGAAGTTAAAAGGGGATAATATTATAATTATTTTATATATATTATAATTATTTTATTACAATTATTTTGATAATTAAAGTTATATTTAAAAGAAATATCCCGATTGTAATAACAAAAAGAAATAAAATCCTTAAATTGTTGCTATATTTTACAAAATAAAAAATTGTACTAAAATACCTCCTCCTCCCATTCTCACTTTATTTTACTCATTTAAACAATTCTTTTACTCTTACAAAATTCCTCAAAAAATCCTCAACTGTTTAAATACA